GTTTGACGGCGTCGAGCATTCGCGCGGTGTTGTCCGAGGTCGCTTTGGCCTCGGTTTGCAGGATGCTAAGCGCGTCGCATACCGTGCTGAGTCGGGGGCGTGTTGCACTTTCAGTATGAATGTCAGGGTGCCATGGATAATGATCTTGACAAGGTCTGCCGGTACGGGCTGGCTTTGAGTGCGATCGATGCAGGTCAGCGCGTCCTGAAGGTAGGTGCTGAGTCGTGTAGCGTGCTCGCGGAATGGTGTTGGCCATGCGGGCTGCTGAGGCCACGGTGTCGCCATGGCACGTCAGTCGCAGTGGGCGCTACGGCTGAGTGCTGGCTAGTCAATTGGCGTCAAGAGCGAGCGTTTGAGTGCGAAAAAACGACTGAATTCCAAAAATCAAGTTCTCGCTGTGTGTGGTGTTTTTCGAAGTGATTGATTGATTGATTGATTTAGTCCTACTCGGTTTCAGCCGTGTTTTCTCCGCGGCTATGCCCGGCATGGCTGGCGTAGCCAATAGCCGACGCCGCGCAGACGTTAATCCGCGCCGCCCCACGTCACTCCCTATGGGAGCCAGCTGTTCCTAGAGGCCTGCCGTTTCCCCTCCACCACTATCTACAATCTGGCTGGCACCTCATCTAGACAATGGTTCTACTTACAGTATGCTGTGCTTATAGGCTCGTGGAGGCGTGCTGCCTCGTGTTTTGCGGCCGTGATACCTACAGTCTCCCCCCAGCGCTCGGCTGTCGTCTACGCGTCTTCGATCCCAACATGCCCAAGAATCTGCGCTTGTTCTACAAACTGGATGGCTTTGGTGGCTAGCTGTGGCTTACTCAGGATGGCCCGGAGGTTGTTTCGTCCACGGAGGTTGCCGAATACCTGGTTCCGGAGGTCCTTGAGCATCCTGCAGTGGAGCAGGATGTGGGCGACAGTCTGTCGTCTCTCCCCGCACTGGCAGCGGGAGCTGGTAACCCCTGGCACTCTTTGGGTGAAGAGGAAGTCGCGCAGGTCTATCTTTTCAGTACGCAGCTGCACTAGTAGCGCACTCTGTCGTTTAGTAAGGCCCTCATGTGTCTGAAGTACTTTCTTAGTAGGCCACGGTGTGTGTCTGTAGGTTGCTCGACCTTTCGCCTCTGTTCGCCACTTGGCTGCCCATGCTCGCTCTGTTTGAGTCCTGCACCAGCGCCTGACAGTTGACCTGATTGGATAGAGTCTGGGCGGCGCTTCTGCTGGCGGGTGTCTGCGGCCGTCCTCTCTCCATCCTGTGGCCTCCTTGGCGGCCCTGTCGGCCGCTTCGTTTCCTGGGATGCCGGTGTGGGCTGGGATCCACCTTATTGTCACTGGCCGGTCCATGTCCTGGAGCGTCTCGACCTGTTCTGCAATGTCTGCGAGAATGTATGCTCCTGATCGACCTTCAGCCTTGGCCACTGACCAAATGGCTGCCTGGTTGTCTGTGTAGATGGCTACCTTCCGCCTCTCACCTCCTCGCTCTGCGTACTCTTGTGCTATTTGTAGTGCGAGGCTGATACCCTGTAGCTCGGCGGCGTAGACTGTCGAGCCCGTGTCTGGCCCCATGTGCATTGTGCGGGTCTGATGTGTGAGTGGGCATACTGCTGCAGCACCAATCTCGCCTTCTATGCCACTGCCGTCGGTATAGATGCTAAGGCTCTGGTCCTTCTCATGTTCTCTGTCGTGTCGACTACGTGCTTTGTCCGCGCTCTTGTCTATGTAGGTCTTTGGGCCGTGTCGCCAGGGCGGGGTGATAAAGGGTGGAATTGGCTCCTGCATCTCGAGATCCTGTCTGCGCTGACTCCTCATGTCATCGTATATCTTCTGCCAAGAGTCGACGTGTCTAATGCGGCGTATGCTTGCGCTAGCAGGTTGTGACCTGCTCACCTGAAGGTTTGAAATGTGCGCCATATGCTTGCTCGAGAGAAGCCGAGTGATAACGTCGGCGTTGTGCTTCCATATCTGCTGCTCAATTGGCAGGAGGTGTGCTTCGACGTCGAGTGCTGCTTTGGACGTGGCTTTGTATGCTCCACATATGGCTCTTGCTGCTCTTGCCTGTATGCTTTGCAGGATGCTGAGTGTCTTCTTCGTGTATGTTTTGCCCTTAACACTGGCATTCGACCAGATGGAGCAGGCATACATCATCTGTGGCAGCGCTGTGGCCTCATACAGCCTCCGCATGTCTGCAAGCGTGATGCCCCAGGTCGAGCCTCCGAGGCAGCTGAGCGCGTTGACCGTCTTTGTCGCTTTGCGTCTGATCTCTTCTACTTGTTCTTTCCATTGTAGCTTCGAGTCCATAGTTAGGCCTAGATACTTGCACGTTGGCTTAGGCGTCACCTCGCCCCAGCTTGTCTGCACTGTCCTGCTTCTGTTGATGCGTGTACGCGAGCGTGTGAAGTGAGTCAGCTGGAACTTGTCTGGTGCGAAGACCGAGGCGTGGGTGATGGCCCATCGCTGTGCTTTCTCGAGAACGCGACTTAGCGTGCTGCATGTCTCTGCTGCTGTGTTACCCCATGCGAGGATAGCTACGTCGTCTATGTACCCTGTGGACGTTGTGTTGGCTTCTCTGTTGCACTCGTCTATAAGATCGGCATTGTAAAAGAGATAGAGAATGGGCGAGAGCGGCGAGCCCTGCGGTATGCCCGTGTTGATTGCGTACTCTTGTGATGTGAAGCCGTCTGCTGTGATCCTGGTGTGTCTGTTGCTGAGAAAGCTTGCAATCCACTTGACTGTCTTATTATCCACTCTTCGCTTCCGCAGGTTGTGAAGCAGTCGTGGGTGCGAAACGTTGTCGAAGGCGCCCGAGACATCAAGCAGCAGAAGGCTAGCTACCTGGCCATCACCTTTGTTCCATGCCTGGTAGATCCTGCTTGTGACGGCGTGCAGTGCGTGTTCAGTAGAGCGCATCCTCCTGCCGCCCATATGCGTGTCGGGCAGCACGTGCTGTGTTTCAACTAGGTGGCTAAGTCGCCGGGCAATAACAGCATCCATGACTTTGCCGACTGTGTTAAGTAGCGCGATCGGCCGGTATGCTTTAGGTACAGTGTAGTTGTCTTTGCCTGGCTTGCGCAGGACGACCGTGGTCGACTCACGAAAGTGAGAAGGGCAGTATCCTAGGCGCAGGCTGCAGTTGACTATTCTTGTGAGGTGCTTGGTAATCAGCCTCTCTCCTACCTGTAGCGTTCGATTTGCTATACTGTCTGGCCCCGGGGCCTTGAAAGGTGCTGCTGCACGGATCGCGTCTCTCACTTCCTTTTTCGTTACTGCGGGGAACTCGATCTGGCCGCTGTACTCGGCGTCCTGTATGTCTGTTAGGTCTGCTGCTGGCGGGGCGGGGAAGAAGGCATGTCGGAACAGAGTTGCTTTATCAGCTGGCTCTGTGACTTCGTGTTCTGTCGTTGGGTGTCGTATGGCAGGCGTGACCCTAGGGGCCACCCTGCCTCTTGTCTTGGCCCAGGTTGCGAGCTTCCACAGCTTCTCTGGCGACTGCGCTGCCTCTTCTACTCGGTCTCTATGCATCTGAGTCATTGCTTTGCGAATAACTCTAGCTTTGTGGTTTCTCGCTTCTCGATACGCTTGCCACGTCTCTTCTGTGCCATGTTGGCTGTGCCGCCTTTTAAGCCTCTTCGCCTCCGCTAGTACTGTCTTGCATTCCGCCGTCCATCCTTCTCTTGCCCGAGCTAAGATGCATACCTGCGGAGTCGCCTTCTCTGCTGCTGTCTTGATGGCAGTAGTCACGTCGCGGACGTAGTTGTCGAGTGCTAGCTTAGTGGCTGGCCTGCGTAGTGGCGGCAGAGTCGCTTTTAGGTCTTCTAGGTATGTCTTCTCGTTCATGCGCTTCCAGTTCCTCTTTGTTGTCTCTGGCATAGATTGCACCGCCATATCGAGCACTGTGCTTATCGGTAGGTGGTCAGAGTCGTGGTCGAGATCGCGGTCTACCTCGCTTCTGATCATCCTATCGACGAGGCCGACAGTGACGAGGCATAGATCGATGGTAGTCTGCCGCGCCGCTTCTTCGTATGTGATTGTCCCGGCCGCTAGCGTATTGCTAAGGTCAAAGTCTTCTATAATTGCTATCAAGTCTTCTGCCTGTGGGTCAATGTGTCTAACGTTCTGGCCTCCCCACAAAGGGTGATGCAGATTGAAATCGCCTAGCAGGATTTGCTCATTGCTGCTGTGCTTCTCGAGGACTGCGCGGACATCTACAAGCGTAGGGCCTGTGGGACCTCCACCTCCTACTGCATTGTAAATGTTGTGGATCGCCACACTCTGCTGCTCTTGTTGGTCCCTGCTAGGCTCAATGACGAGAGAGCAGACGTCTCTCGAGTGTTCCTTGAAGCGCCATCTATTGTGGTCAATTCTCTTGTTGACGAAGAAACAGACCCTCGCTGGGCCTTCTTCATCTGCTGCCGCCGGATAGCAGAGGTGGAAACCATCCTTTGCTGGGTGGTGAGTGGTCACCATGTACGGGTTCCTCCATGGTTCCTGGATGGCCAGAATGTCGTACTCGTGTATCCGGGGGTCTCGCAGCAGCGTCGCCATTACTATGTCTCTCGACTTGCGTACGTTGTACTGTAGTATGCTTAGTGTGTTGTACTGATTCATGCTTCTGTCTCGCAGTCGATCTCCATGTGCTGGGTGTTGCTTTGGGTCAGCCGCATGTTGGCGCTGATCGCCTCTAATGCTCTGCGGCTCGGCATAATCGTTCTCTGTGGTCGCTGACTGCTCATCCCTGCCGGCAGCGCGTTCTCCTGGTCTGTCGTATCGATTGCAGTTCCCGTATTGGTCCGCTTTTGTCCTCGTTGGGCCTGCGACCTGCTCCTTGTGGGCTGCGTAGGCTGTGTCGGCGCTGTGTTTTGGCTAGACCTGCTTCTAAGGATAGTAGTAGGCATTTCAGGCTGTACGTTTCTTCCCCTCGTTTCCGGTACGAAGTGATACTGTGGCCGCGTGTCGTAGGCCATCTTCGCTTTGGCCATCTCGTCCTTCCTACTAGGGCACTGTCGGCTCCACGCTTCGTGCTCGCCGCGGCACAGCGTGCACTTCCTGGCTATAGTCCGGTCTGACTTGGCTGGACAGTCTCGGGTGTCGTGCTCCTGCGCACAGAAGCCACATGCTGTTGCTGCCTTGCACTGGGTTCCTATGTGGCCGTATTTTTGGCACTTGAAGCACTGCTTCACGCGGCACTGTCGCTCGTATCGCTCGCACTGGAACACCTCGCCCTGCCAGACAAGGCCCTCGTCGATGATCTTGTTGGCGTCTTCTGGTCGAGTAAACTCAATCGTGATAGTCGATGCAGTCTTGGCGGTAGCGTCTCTAGTTAGCCATCCTATGTGGCGGATCTCAGCCTGCGGGATGAACGGTCTGTTGTCCTGCAAGATCTGGCTTCTGTTGTCTTCGAACCTGTCCATGTTCATTGTGCTGGTGCGTATGCCGTGGGCGAGCACACCGTACGTCGGGATCTGTATGCTGGCGCCGTGGCCGATGCGCGCGGCCCAGTCGTCTGCGAACTGCCGTAGTGCTTCGACCTCGGTGCTGGTGGCTGCCTTGACGCTGAGGTCGCCGCTCTTGAGCTGGTTAGAGGAAACGATCTTCACGCCTATAATGTTCTCATTGCCGCTCTGCTCGATTGCACGCTCGACGTGGGCTTTAAGGTTACGTGGGTTCATTGCCCGCAAGGCCTGCACAGTGAGTGGATCTCTAATATTCACGATGACCTCACGTTGTGTTTGCACGATAGGTGCTCTACGACTCTGTGTATTATATGTACCTGCTAGTGGAAGGCCTCTTGCTGCCGCTGCAGCGTACGATGTTGGCCCGTTCGTCTGCTGCTGTTGTGGTGCTTTGTTCTTGATCTCTCTTGCCATTTCCAGGGTAGCCTTGCCCACTTGTGTCGCCTCTTTGGCTGCCGCTCTCGCCTCTTCTACTGTACTAGCGTTCTGTTGCATGTTGGCAGCTACTAGTTGCACGATATCTACGGTGTTCTTAAGTTCGCCCTTGATCTGGTCGAGGGCTTGCGCGGTCTGCTCTGCGTTGGTCTTGGCTTCGGTTTGTGCGACTGCGAGGGCGTCACGGACTGTGTCCAGGTCAGGCGTATGTTGCGTCTTTAAGACGAGCGTTAACGCGCCGCGAATTACATCTCCGGCGAGGTCTGCTGGCACGGTCTGGCTGCCGTTGCGCTCGATGGCCTCCAGGACGTCGTGAAGAAAGGTGCCGAGAGAAGTAGCATGCTCGCGTAGCGGGGTAGGCCATGTCGCCCTTCGCGGCCACGGCGTCGCCATAACGCTTCAGTGGCAGTGGGCGCTGCTTCTGAAGTGCTGACGGGTCGTAGGGCGTGTCAGGCTAACTTTTACGTGCGATATACTGCGTTAATTCCAAAAATTGCAATACTCGCTGTTGTCGTGTTTTCCCGTAATACTTTACTTGTAACGTCCGGGATCAGTAAGCTGGCCGGAACAGTAAGCTGGCCGCCCCACCAAACTCGACGCGACACTCTACACAACAACCATAATGCCGCGACAACAACGTTCTATACAGACTTCTCGTGAAGGCAGAATAAGTCTTGCTATGGCGTCCTATTATAATAATCCAAAACAATCTATCTACTCTCTTGCGAAAGCGTACGACGTGCCAAAATCGACGCTCCAGACACGCCTCCGCGGTATCCAGCCACGATCAGAGGTTCCGTCTGCTAGGCGTAAGCTATCACCTGTCGAAGAGCAGTCTCTTGTTCAGTGGATTCTAGAGCTAGATCGACGAGGCTTTCCGCCCCATATCATTGACGTGCGACGGATGGCAGACGCGTTACTCACAGCGCGTGGCCAAGATCCACCTCCACAACCGTGTAGGCAAAAAATGGGTAGTCACGCTTTATCCAGAGCCAGCCAGAGCTTCAGACAAAGTGGACTAGGA